GACTGTGTGCTTCAGGACTCTGCCCAGGAGAACACCAACGAAAGGAGCCTTTTATGCCAGGAAACCTGGAAATACAGCTAGCTAAGAGGGAATGGGTAAGACAAAAGGCTACAGCTGTTTAACCTTAACTGTGACATGTGAAGCAAAGGGCTCAGAGGTAGAATATGAAATTTAGCCTGCCTAAGTAAAAACTTGGATAAAATTAAGGAATCAAGTTTAGTTTAAATGGTACTGAATCAGTTATCAGTAGGGAGAAAAAAAAAGATGTGGGGATTTGATAAGAGTCAAATTTCCATGTTTCTATTCTTATATAACTGGGTAAGAAGCAAGTGCTATGGAATACAGATAAATAAAACACATTAGAGAGAATATAAAAACTGGTTATCTTAGAGAAGAGGAGGAAAATCCCAATTTGTGAGGAGAGTATGAAAAATTCATGTGTTATCACTCTGTACATGTAATAATCAAATGTATGTTTTTCAATGATTAAGTCTTAATATATACAAGAACCAATGAAAATAAAATTAATTTAAATATAATACAAAAGTATGACAGTAGAAAAATAAAGGAAATTAAGAAAAATACCATGTCATCATTTAATTTCTCCTGCACAAACAACATTTGATCATTACTGTTAGAAAACAGCCATTTACTACATTTAAAGTCTAGGATTCTCAGAAATATGAAACCTTTTGGTCTTGATGCAGTGATCACACTCTGGGAAAAGGTCACACAACCCTGGGAGTTCTAGTGGGAACCAGTCCAGGAACCAGGAAGATTACTTCAATGGCAAAAGGAGTCTCTGGGCTAAAAGGCAGAACCACAAGTCTTTCACTTGGAAAAAAAAAACCCTCATTCTTCTCAGCTCAATCCCTGATGACTCGGCGGGCTTTCCTGAGCCCTACTTTGGCCTACCCCACTGTCACCCCCTTTCTTTGGTGTTATGTTCACAGCATTCTGTCAAACAGCTACTGGGGAGAACTATGTGTGAAGTCAGACTGAAGGCCACTGTGACTGCAAACACAGACATATTCAATTAATTTTCAAGGTATAGTGAATAAAAAGCTTATTCATGGATAAGAAAGATAGTAAAGAAGACAGGTTGCAAAAACTGCAGATATCAAATCAAGACAATTTTTGAGGTAATATGATTACACTAAACAGAAAAAACATTGTGATCTACAGTGAGAGAATTCTGGCCATTCTTAATGCAATGTCAGATTTGTAGGGATTAATGTGAATGTAAGTACTCATCATACTAGATATAGAGTGGACATAAATGGACCGCTCTAGGAATCTGCAGGGGGATGTTTTAAAAAAGTATACACAGAAAAGTGCCAAGCTCCTAGGAGTTTGATGAATTTTCTCAGACTGAACACAACTGTGTCCTGACACAGGGACTAAAGAGCAGAATGTGACTAGCACCACTGGGACTTATTCCATTGATGATAACGACAGGGAGCATTTACCCTGATGTTTAAGACCACAGATAAATTCTGACYGTGATTCTATTAATATAAATGAAATTATATGGAATAGATTTCTGAAATTCTGGCTTAGTTCATYCAGTGATGTGATGGATATCTATATTACACTGCTGCTCATAGTTACAGTTCATTCATTCTTACCAATATAAGTATTCTACTATGTAAATGTATAATCTTTACATATTCTACTTGATGTACATTTGGATAGCTTTGGTTTCTGACTGTGATGAATATATCAATAATTATTTTAAGTATAAATACTAAGTAAAAGACGGTATTTCATGTAAAAGGTTAACATTGTCTGAGCAGAAAAAAGCACAAAATGCCAAGTAGATGCTGCTTGCAAGAAAGCGGAATTGGCGTACTGGTAAGCAACACAGTAGAAACGTGGCAAGAGGTACTGCACAGATACCAAGGGACATTTTCTAATTCTRAGAGTATACACATTGCTCATTGTATGTGAGCACATGTGTCTGTGTATATAAAAATCTAAAATCTGAAACTCAGAGATATCTAAAGATACCCAACCTTACAAAGTGTCACAGCAGGGACCTGAATTGGTCTCCAGAAAACTCAAGTTTTCTGGAATTTGTGTAGACTACATCACCTCCATAATGCAGCTGCACACCAGTGTAGAGACCCCAAGGGAACAGAAAGCACAAAAAACCTCTTTCCGTAGAATTGCTCTAAAACAAAAACAAAATACCTATTTTAATAGGTATATTTTCCAAATACAATCTCAATTAAAATTTTAAATACCCAAATCTCACTCTTTGCAGTCTTTGCTACTGTCATGTTTTCCATCGAATGGACTTTCTGATGTCTATCACACATGGAATAGCTTGATAGATGAGAGTGATTTGCTGTGCATGGTGAAGCACATCTCTCATTCCCATACTCAGAAGCTGAAGCAGGAGAATGCAAGTTCTAGGTCAGGTAGGGAAAATGAGAGAGACTCTGTCTCAAAACAAAATAAAAAGGGGTGGGGATGCAGCTCAGTGGTAGAGTGCCTGCCCTACCCTAGCATGTGTGAGGTCCCAAGATCAATCCATAGTACTGAGAAAAGAAAAAGAAAAAAAAAAAAGAAATAAAGTGATTTGAGTAGGTGGGGTATTTATGGAAGTTTTGAACTCAATCTTTTATTGAAAGAACTGCATGACATGCTTCACTGAGCTCTGGGTTACAAAATCCTCAGCTTGTTGATAGGTGCTGGAGAATGCAGCTAAGACTGTTCTCCAACCACCCTCAGGCTTCCTGCCATTTGAAGACACTAAACACTAGTTCCCTCTAGGAGATGCTCAGCTGCCACCTGGTACCACCACAAACACCCCAGTGACAGCAGTAGCAGTTCAATTTCATTATCATACTGAAATGCACCATAGATGATTAAGAATTCCAGGATCAAAAACTTCATGTTTTTAAAGTTTTGTCTTAATGAGCCAAATTATCAAAACAAAATTATGACTAACAGTACTACTGCCAGCACAGGAAGGGCAGACACTCAACAGATCCACGTGTCATAGGAGCTCTTCTTGTGAAGATGCCACTCTGTCTTAGAAAATGCCCCTATCAGAAGTACAAAAGTTTAAAGAGAAAACCAGAACTAAGCACTCATTGGCAAGGCATATTCAAGAAAGTAGGAATTTACTCAAAACTYAAATTTTTTATAGCTAATGATTCTACAAAGCATATCACCAAGCAGCACTCACCATCACCAGAGCAGGGATCACATGAGCACAGCAGTTTACTCTTACTGTGCAAAACACAGAAGGAACACGTGGCTACCTTCACCACCATCGTCCCCTTTATGTTGGCATTTGTTTCTTTTAAAAGTTAGAGATACTTTATTTAAGGCAAATAACCTGTTGGTCTTGTTTCCCGTTAGGGGAATGGAAGGGGAAGAAAGATGGCAGTCCTGCACTGTGATGCAGGTGGAGCAGCACTACCTGAAGGGATGTTACTGACAACCTGGGCACCACAGTTCACCTCACCTGCATGTTCTGGAAGTGCCCCCCCACAGGTTGTGCCTCCAGTATCTGTGCTGCCATGCTCATGTATTTACATATTTACGAAGAACCCCCAGTGCTGATGGCCAGAGATACTGCAACTTGATTTTATCTATGTGAACTAAAGCTGAAAAAAAAGTTCAGTTCAAAACCCAGTGACAACCTTGCCAAAAGGAAAGAGCAGAGACATCTGCTTTTGTTTGTTTACAAAGATGGTCCTGCATACAACAGAGACTGTGAAATGAGACATCCGACCATCATTTAAATCCGTCAGTCATTTCAACGTAAATTGAAAAATCTTTTGTCACGTACCAGCAGCAAACAAATAATTGCTCTCTAAGGTATACCTCACCAAAGGTATAAGAATAATATTATTCTAACTTAAATTACTCGCCACATTCTAGTTTTTTTTAAATCTAGGTGTCATATGGCAAGTACTGCTGAAATATTCTAAAACAATCTTGTATTTTTGCTGKGGCATCCCTTGACTTTCACACGCAAATATGTGAATCCTCACCCTCTTGGCATTGCACCTGGCTAACACGAGGTGTCCTGTGCTAAAGGCTCCATAACATTCTCTTAAAATTTTCACAATGACCCAGCTAGGTAGTCCTCTCACAAAGACTTACACCTGACAAAACCAAGGCTCTATGTGGTCAGCCTACCCGAGGTCATGCAGCCAACACRGGAGAAGAAGCGGGACAGAAGGCTCTCACTGTGTCCAGCCACTGCTTCCAACAGACCCAGGATGCATGGGCAGCACTGACACACAGTGCTGTTGGGCTACATCTTGGGATACCTTTAAGTTGACTTCATGGTCAAGTACTTCTTCAAATAAAACCCCATGCCCATAATCTATCAAGAGTCAAGGAACTTGTTAATTAAACAAAACACTGAGTGACAGCAGATCTGCATTACCCTGTGGGCATGACACCTTCTGGAGTATCTGACCTATAATCCAAAACAAGCCTGGTACCCACTGCCGTGGCCAGCATATCCTCAAAACCTGAGTGATGGTACGCMTCCAATTCTGGGAAGCGAGCAGCACTCTGTTACCCACAAGATGCTTGGTGCATCCTCCTCAGTCACATTCTTCTCTTCGCCTGGTTTTCGCTGGAAAATGATGGTGTACAGGGATAGGGAATAACATTCTAAATCACAAACATTTTTTCAAAAAATTAACTTTTACCGGTTAGTTAAAATATAAAGCTTAAACAACTTTCATTTCAGCTCCACTATGTTTTCAATATTTGCAGTTATTTGCTTTGTTGTCCTAGGATGATTATTTTGGGAGATTTGTTTCTATGATAAAATCCAGTGAAAAAAGGCCTATTTTCAAAGTCAAGTGATACAAATATCAGAGTACACTTTGGTACAGATCTCAAGGTAGACACCATTTCACTCTACTTCATTAAAATTGATCATGGTAATGTACAAAGAGCATTGCAACTACTGTGATCAATTAAGTGCTAAAAACAATAAGTATTTTAATAGTTTCTATCCTTACCAGCATGCAAGTATGCGAGGTCAGGATTCTCGATATCAGGATGTTGTTCTTTCAAGTGATTCCGGAACTCCACAGGGACATTTGTCCCATAATCACATTTGGGGCAGTTATACATCTTGACTCCTTCATGTTTGCCAGTATGTAAAATGTGTTTGCGGATATTTTCAGCACAGTTTGACCTATGGAGTAAGAAAGAAAAGTAAACTGAATTACAAGTGAGAACAAAAAGCAAATTGAATTATGGTCAAATCAATAACACTGTATCACAAACAATGATARTAACTCTCACTGATGCAGTCTTTTTATGTGTTGGGTAAAATTCTATGTGTTGCACTTATACAATAATTAATGTACAATACATCAATCCTGTGAAGTTGGTAGTTTTTATAATCCTGATGCCAATTCCTAAGTTGGTTTTTTACTTAGCAATCATTTCCATGTTGGCCGGAAAGGTGGAATCACAGGCTATATTATTTTAATATCAAATTATTCTGGTGCCACTTGAGGGCAGTGAAGGTATGTGCTTACCCCCAAGGACTCGCTTCCCACTTCTTATGAGGGGTATGGAAGGAAAGTACCATGATATAACTAAAACCAGGATACTATAGTGATACATGCATATTAAAGTTTATAGCAGCACAATCCACAATACCTAAGTTATAGAACCAGTTTAGATGCCCATCAATAGAGGCAGATAAAGAAACTGTGGTATTTACATACAATGGAGTTGTATTCAGTCATAAAGTGAAAGAAATTACGGCTTTACTTGTAAATGGATTGACTTAAGTAAAATAAGTCAGACTCAGAAAATAGAGGGTCAAATGTTTTATATGCTTTTAACTAAAGCGTAAAATGAATTTAAAAGAAAGGAATCTTACAAAAATAGGAGAGAGATAAGTAGAGAAGAAGTGGGAGGAAGAACTGGGGAATAAATGTGACCAAATTATGCTGGGTACATATATGAATATACCCCCCAAAATATAATCTTATTTGTAACTATAATGTATGGAGAAGGAAAATCAACAGAACAGAAGGAGGGGATCAGGAAGGAAAGGGGGTAGCACTGGGGATTGTAATAGAGAAATTATGCTGTATGGATTTATGAATATGTCAAAATTAACCCTACTATTACATATAATTCACTAAAAAGTAAAAAAGTTAATGCAGCTATACTGCAATGATAACTTCTCTTTATTTTTCAAATAATAATAWTAATATTTCAAATAATGATTTACATACAAATAAATGCATTTTTAGGGGAAGACAAAGAAGAGAAGGAGGAAAAAGAACTGGAATAACAGATTTTACCAGCTGTTTTCAGCTTGCTCAACAAAAGAGTTCTATCACATTGGGTGTTAAAAATTCTTTTAGAATTTTAAATATATGAAAGACAACTGATATATGAATGTACAGCTTTTTTTATTACTACTGATTACAAAATCTGTAAGTTCTCTACTACTAAATAACAATCCCTCTAAGAATAAAAAACCCATTTATTTACGGACGTGGGCCACAGGCTGTCAAATGGCCTGATAACTGTGAGGCACCACATGAACCTGGAAGGTCAAGACTAGTGAAGTCATTTTATGGAGACACAAGTAAGTATCAAAAAGATGAGCTGGTTTAGAAAGGCTGCATTCTACTCAGTGGTTAAAGCAGAGTCTGATGGTAGRTTTTCTGTTTTCAAGGCTGCGTGCTCTCAAGTGTCCCACAGCCACCTTCCTCACAGTGCCTGCATAGCAAAGATGCTGGCACATCCTGGGACCAGCACAGGACTGCAGAGCCTCTTCAATGCATGTGTACCTTTGGAATAACAGCTCTCAGTCACACTGATAAAAGTAATAAAGGAAAACACCTGCAGGTGAACAATACAAATGTCACTTGTGTGACAGTAAAAAGGAAGAGTTGAATTCTGCAACTAGCTGGGTGAACTGTTCCAAATGACAGCTTTAACTCTGTTGCTCTCCAATTTCTTTTCAACAGCACCACAGACACCCCCTAAATTCGTCATTGTTTACTGACACTGGGGTGTAGAAACACCAAGTTAYTACTAACTTAATTACTACTATTTATCAGGACTATAGAGTCTTTGGTACCACCAAAATTATTTTCTTATATAAAACACTAGGTATTAAACATCATCAAAGATAATMACCCTCAAATAAAGAAATAAAACTGCTGAAATAAACACATTTCAATTATATGATGCATATCTAAATGGACAACAACATAAGTAATATGAACATTCATTGGAGGAAGAAAGAGATGACTTTGAAAACAGAATATTTTGTTTTCAAGAAGGGTTTTTTTTTGACAAATATAATATTTTTTTAGTATCTAAACAGCATGTGGAATCTAACCATCAAGAGAGTATTACTGAGATAAGTAAGGGATATATAGAATTTAGGGTGCATCTATAATGTGCTAAAAACCAACTGGTGAGGAGTGGGGGAAAGAATTAAAATGGATAAAAGGGTTTTTTTTAAATTAAAAATACAATATAGAGTTAAAAAATAAGTGGTTTGGAACATGAGATTTTAAAAGGTATTTAGGACCACATATACATATATATTTATGCACATATAGATGTATGTATTCATATAAAAACACTTCATGTTTTATTGTATAATACATGTGTACATGTGTATGTATAATTCTATGTTATAAACATAAGAAACAAATACATACAGGGGAAAAAAAGGATGCATTTGGGGAAATGAAGATAACTACTAATATGTATGGGGTCTCTTTTTAGGACAACAGAAATCTAAAATTGCTTCTGGCGATGGTTGCACAGCTCAGGGAGTATACTGAAACCCACAAGAWTTTTGCCATTTCAGCAGGTTAACTGAAAGATATGTGCACTATTTCAAATTAGAACAAAGAACTCCTGTGCTTCCCTGTTGACGTCACCCTTGGTCCTGCTGTTGGTACCTRGGGGCCACATGTTCAGATGGCAAAGGTCCTGGCATAGAGAAGAGGCTCAAGTTCCATCAATCTCCACACAGGGAGCGATAGCAATTATTGAGTTCTGACATTTTGAATTTCAGTTTTTCCCAATGTGCAGTCAACAGTAATTATCAGAAAACAGGTGCTCCCTTTCTGCAACTAGTGCTATTTGCAGCCCGACCAGTACCATGTCACATGCACCACGTGCATGCACAAGTGTAGTGCATGTCCTGCGAATCCTTCCCTCCTAAGCGGCATGGAGTGGGTGCCTTGGACGATGGAGGGGCATAGATAGGATGCTCTCTGTTCCTGACCTGGATGATACTTCTGGGCCCAGCACTGCCCAGAAGGGAGACCCCCCCCTCCCGTAAACCTCCTTCCTCTGCCACCCAGAGCTCCTGTTACAAGCCAAGGGGCATAGTACTGTCTGTCTCCAGCTACATGTAACCTGATGTTTCCCTGAGGGGGAAGTATGATATATTTYTGTTAAGCTAATTTATGAGAAATAAAGTTAAATAAAATAAATGGTTCTATGCATGCTTTAAGTAGAGGAATGCTAGGAAAAACTGATGACACAGGCTGTCTGAAAGGAACTGGGAAGAGAGCTCCTGGAGCATAGTTCTCTGAATGAAGGAAAAAGTGAAGCAGGAAAGGCCCAGGCATTGCCCTGGGGATTTGGAATGGCCTCAAATCCTACTTCCTAACCCATGGAAGGATCCCAGCCTCCACCCCCACCCCCCAGCAGACTGCTGTGGCACAGAGAAACACTCTTTGAGATATACAGTCAGATGGTCTGGGGTCCATTCCAACATGTGAATTTCAGCCCTGCCATGCAAGGGATCTGTCATCTACAGTGATTGCTTCAACTCTCCAAGACTCCCTTTCCTTAACTATAATCTAAGGTTAATAGTTTCAAACTATCAAAATACTAAATGTATTCTATAAACACAAAAATTTCACATAGGAATTCAGAAAGCTATTCATGACCTCTACATTACCTCTGCCCCACGCCCAGTCCTAAAGGCTAGTGTGAAAGGCAGGCAGCTCCCACAGCCTGGGCTGGCACAAAGGAGAAGGCAGGTATCAACACAGAGAGCTCATTGACTGGAACAGCTTGTCAAAATTTTGAGCTCTGCCCCTTCCCTTTCTGGATTCCACTCTACTATTATAGGCCCAGGATGACCTCCGGCTGAGGAAAAAGCAGCTGAGGGACACCCAGCAGGCCAAAGATGCTCTTACCCCTCTGACTGGTGAGCACAGACAGCGGGGGAAGAGGGGGTTCCTCAGGAGAGGCTGCAGCCTCCCTCCCTGGTTAAGGGATTCTTGCAGGACTCGCTAGCTCCAGAAGAACCTGCACACCCTACTTTTACAGAAACAGCATCCCAAGTTAAGAGCAAATTTCAAATTGAATTTTGGAATATGACCTGTTGGACACCTAGAGACAACTCGTACAAGAATATTGAAAGCACAGGGTGATCAATTACCAAAAAGATCCAGGATGGAAACTATTAATTTGAGGGCTTCTTAGAATATGACATGATAAATGAATTAAATTTTTTTTCAAAAATTATGTTCTAAGGTGATGTATATGGAAACAAAAAAGAAGACACAATAATACTTCCAGAACTCTCTAAAATGATTAGTCAGTACTACACACTCACGCCCTTCAACATAAAAGGCCTAAAATTGTTACTGAACCTAAAAAGGAAGCTTTACTAATTATTTTTTTTCCTTTTCTTGTTTTTATTTTGGCTATTCATTCTTGGCCACAAGTATAATGTGGATTCTTTTTTCCTCATTCCTCTTATAATACTTTGTGGGCACAATAAAGGCCAGCACCTGGCTTTTCAAATCTATCAACAGAGCATGGGGATCCAGATTCCCTCCCCATTTCACTTGCTCTCCCACCACAGCTTTGTATGCTCTGTTTTTAACAGTGTGGATACAAACAGATCTCACATCACTGATCCTCCACTGATGGGCACTGAGGTAGTTTCTAATCATTTACTGGCATACACAAGTTTGCAACAAATAATTTTGTGGAACACTTTCCAGGCCTTAGGATGCCAAGAAGATCTCATGAAGCCAAATGGAATGGTTTCAAATGTCAACGGGCACATACTTTTGCAACTTTGATAAATTCTGCCAAATTGCCCTCCTGGGGAACTGCAGCAACTGACACCTGCACTACTTATATTCTAGACAGCCTATTCCTGCACAATTTTTGCCA